GCGCCGCTGGGTGGATCGCGACGTGTTAACCCCACTCGTCCTGCGTTGCCAGTAATGTCGAGCGCTCCGTGAAAACGCGTTGCTTTTCGGGTGGGTGGATTGCGTTGGGAAAAGCTGTGTGGGGCGGCCTTCGGGCCTTGGTCTTCGTGCGTGTCGCCGTTACGCAGGCTGCTGTGGGGACAGGGGATTCTATCTATCCGCATCAAAGTTTACTGATTGTTTTACCTCCGAGGCTCGACTGCAAGTATGTGCGTAGTGGTCATTGCTGTGGCCGTCTGTTTAGATTAACATGCCTCTGAATGTAACATTCGCATAGCACTTATGAAACTGCATCGGTGTATGATGATCAGACCGTCCACGTTCCATTGTTAGCCACTTAGGAGCTTGACGCAGGAAGTATTTGTCTCGCATCTTGGCCTTTCGATATCTTTTTTAGTTTGTTGTACTACCCTGTGCCTGCACTACTACAACATCTTGCTCCAATTGGCGCAGTGGGCAGTTGGGAGCATGGCTGGCTCATTCCAGCCCCAGAACATCTCCCTCCAGGACTCCCCACAATATCCCTAGTGGGCCCATGTCCCTCAGACCGTCAAGAATCTCCCATAGGAGAGGCTCTAGCTTGCCGTCAATGTGAGTCTTATATGATGTCTTTTGGCGGAGGACGCGACTGATATTTCGGCCCAATTCAGGACCCTAGCCTTCACATTCCAGGCACAGAACATCTCCCTCCAGGGCCCTCGGCAGTATCCCCAGTTCGCATATGTCCCCGCAGACTGTCAAGAATCTTCTCCCATAAGAAAGGTCCTATGTGAGTCCTATATGGTTTCTCTTGCGGAGGACGCGACTGATATTTCGGCCCAATTCAGGAGCAATCTTCACATCCCGCCTCCCTACCACCATACTGCCCCAATCCATCGGCATATCATCACCATCATCGATCACCCAGCCCCCTGTTCCGCCATAGTCGACAAGCTCCTCCACCATGGCAGTCTTCCTGGACTCCCCGAGTAGGCCCCGGATGTCAACATGATCTCGTACAAGGGCGGCCCTACACGGCGGCAGGAGCTTCCTCATGACACAACTAGACTGTTGTTGCTGGCATATCCGGACCCCCGAAATGGCCGACGGAATGACCTCCGCATGGGCCAATTTCAAGTCCTCCTGACGACATATGAGTACATTATCAAGGATCGTCCCATTCTCAGCAAGATGAGATGAGGCCCTATGTGAGTCCCATATGGTTTTTCTCTTGCGGAGGACGCGACTGATATTTCGGCCCAATTCAGGAGCAATCTTCACATCCCGCCTCCCTACCACCATCCTTACTGCCCCAATCCATCGGCATATCATCACCATCATCGATCACCCAGCCCCCTGTTCTGCCATAGTCGACAAGCTCCCCCACCATGGCAGTCCTCCTGGACTCCCTGAGTAGGCCCCGGATGTCAACATGATCTCGTACAAGGGCGGCCCTACGCGGCGGCGGGCACTTCCTCATGACACAACTAGACTGTTGTTGCTGGCATATCCGGACCCCCGAAATGGCCGACAGGGCGACCTCCGCATGGGCCAATTTCAAGTCCTCCTGACGACATATGAGTACATTATCAAGGATCATCCCATTCTCAGCAAGATGAAATGGGTCCACATGATCATTGGTATGTACAGTGTTTCTAGCGGATGCTTCTGCTAATGGGATGTAGATGAGGGCCACCGCATGAAGAATACGCAGAGCAAGCTGTCTCAGACCCTTACACAGTACTATCATTCACGCTATCGTCTCATCCTCACTGGTACCCCACTGCAAAACAACCTCCCTGAGCTTTGGTTCCTGCTGAACTTTGTCGTCGGCCACCCAACCCCCTGTCCTGCCGGACGCATAGCTGCCCCTGGTGAGGGCCCCGGTAAAACCATCCAGACCATTGCGCTCGTGACCTCCATTGGGGTGAAGAGGCAGTGCGGCCCTGAGGTATGAAGCAACGGGGTATAAAGTTAATTCGTCCGATAGATATGCATGTACAGAGTTAGCCGCGTCGCCGTCAAGATCCGGCCCATAATAACAATCAGGGAGAGGATGGACGCGAAAGAGAGGAGAGGAGGGGCAGTGCGGCCCCTACCTTGTCATTGTTCCCTTGTCCACTGAAGAACGGGTTCTACTCCCGAGAGGAGGCCCGCCTGCAAGAGGCAACTCGACGCCAGCAGGATATGCGCAGTCTTCCTACAATGGGAACTCGAGCACGATATATCTCCCTCCTGGCCCACCTGGCCAGATGTACTTTGTCGTTCCTCTGCCCGGCGGGCCGCGACTGGATCAAGATCAAAGGCCTCAAGAAGGAAGATGGTATCGTTCGTGCCTCGCCCGTGTACATGGGCTGCCTCTCGACAGAGCCCTTCGACGCCGAGGACCTCTACGCTGCCGGTATCCCCGTCTGGATCCCAGATTGTTGGTACGTCTACAGCATTTTTAATGGATTCCTCCGCTAATGGTATGTAGATGAGGGTCATCGCATGAAGAACACACAGAGCAAATTGTCTCAGACCCTCACACAATACTACCACTCCCGTTATCGTCTCATTCTCACTGGTACCCCGCTGCAAAACAACCTCCCTGAGCTTTGGTCCCTGCTGAACTTTGCCCAATCCCCAGTCCGGCCCGGTGTCCCTGGTGAGGGCCTTCATGCTTCCGTTGTCCATGGCTGCCTCTAATCCTACCGCCCGGTACGTCGGCATACCATCGCCACTGTCAATTGCTCATCCCCTTGTTCCGCCAGGATGCATAGTTGTTCTTGGTGAGGGCCTTGATGCGCCTTGATGCACCTAAGCCGGTGAAGGGTACCAGGGAGTGTCTCAAGGCTCTCAAGGCAGACGATGAAGAGACCTACATGAAGCTCATTGATTCCGCCAAGGATACCCGTATCACCCACCTGCTTAGACAAACGGATGCATATCTCGACTCTCTTGCTCAGGCTGCCACCATTGGGCGGAAAGGGTGCCCGGCGCGCACGGCTGCAGATGTTGTTCAGTACGTAATATAGTCTGCCCTGGTGTGCATTGAATGACTTCTTCTCCCTTATCTCAGAACGGACCAATACCCGATCATCGGATACCTGCAACACGGGCGGCACTGTATGGTATGTGCCCTCGCCGCGGTTGCTTGTATGTTTTCTTACGTCTAGTTCTCTAGGCGGCCACCCCCTATCCCCGTTCTCACAACGTTCGATCGTCACATTCCCAAATGGCATAAGGTACGTGCAAACCTTCTTCTCCGGGGATATGTTTGTTTTTACCTAACAGCGGCTCCCTACAGATATAAAAGACGGGCCTCCACCTCCATCCCCCCCATCGCACCTTGGCTTCCTATATCTCTCTCCGCTCGCTCCTCGCTCTTAACCGCTCCGGGAGCAGACTCTGTGTCTATCCCAATTGCTGGCCTGACTCCGTGTCACCAGCTACTTCGAGAGATTGACTTTGAGTCGCTCGCTGTCCACCATGGTCTCCACTCAACGCACCAGCAAAGCCGCTGCCAAGGCCGACACCCCCACCACCACTGCCGCTCGCCGTGGTCCCGACAAAGCCCTGCCCGCCGCTCCTCGCAAGCAGGCCAAAGGCTCTCAGGCTCGCAAAGTCATTGCGACTGCCGCCAGCAAGAAGGCGACCGTGAAGGGACATGCTGCGCCCAAACGTCGTGGCAGACCGTAAGTGCTCATGTCTTATTCGCGCTTCATTCTTCTGAATTGCTTTATAGCCGCAAGAACACGCGCGATGATGATAACGATGATGACATGGTTGCGCTGGCTGAAGTATGTTTCACTGTAATTCGACATTGGCTATCATTAACCATGTATATTACAGGACAATGGCTCTGATGACATGGATGTCGACGCTAGAGGCGAGGACGAGGACGAGGACATTGAGGATGTTCGTATCCAATTTTTCTGATTTTTTTACACCGTGTATTGATGATTCCCCAAGCCTGACATGTCTCGTTTATCCTCCCTCCCCCCTTCGTCGCCCATTGCCTCCACCCGTGCCTCTGCGCTTTCCGACGATGAGGATGAGAAGCCTCCCCCACCCTCTCAGCCTAGGAACGTTAAGGCCAGAGCTCGCTCGCCTGGTAAGTATTTGCTTGGTAATATGGTCTGTGTGTATCTAACAGTCTATTTTCCGTAGAATTAGACGAAGTTGATGACGATGATGACGATGACGAGGAAGAGTTCCCCATCAAGCTCACTGCACGGGCTAAAGAGAATGGCAAGGGCAAGTACAAGGGTATGTTTTCACGTCTTGTTTTTGAGGTCTATCTGATGTCATAGTAGCCTATGTCGAGGACGTTGATGAAGACGAGGAGGAGGCTGCGCAGTCTGAGGACGATGCCGGCGCCGTTTTTGATGATGATTGGGAAGAGGAACAAGCCAACGGTACGTTCATTTCTTTGTTATAATTCATGTTCATTGTCGTTTACTTACATATGGTAGACACCGACACTGACAAGAGTGACGACGACGACGACGAAGAGCCTGCTCCCAAGAGCAAGACCAAAGGCAAGGCCAAGGCTAACGACAAGCCCAAGTCCACGGACAAGGGTAAGGGCAAGGCATCTGAGGCCAAGCCGTCGAAGAAGAAGGGCCCACTCACCTTTGAGCAGCAGGCCAAGGTGGCCGAGGGCGGTGTCAAGGTCAGAGCCATCCTTGAAGGTCTTGTCGCCGACACTGGCAAGTCGGCAAACTCCCTCCTCAAGGTCATGCAAGTTGCTGTCCGTGGCACTCGTCATACAAGTCTCTACAATATGACGAATCATTGGGCCAAGGTGAATTCCATGTTTGCTGGTGAGTACTTTGCTTTATCATTACACAAGCTTTTTACTAATATGTTCTAGGTGATCCTGAACGTACCGAGAAAGTCCGCGACTTCTACAAGAAGATGATGGCTGACTCTGACCCTGGCGCCTCTGTCTCTGACAGGCGCAGGAAAGTCGCTAACGCTCGTATCAAGGAGATCAAAGCGACCTGGGCTAAGTACAGCAAGGTCAACGTCAAGTCGGCGGGCAAGACCAGTGCTGTGCTCCAGGACAACCTCGACTACTTTGCGGGCGAGGTAAGTCCTTACTAGGCCACCCATTCTTTTTGTGAAGTCACTAACACAACAATAGGCTTTCAGGGCGTCAACTATGGACCAGGTTGAGGTCGTTGGGCTCTGCATCAACAAGTCCCTTGACCCTAGTCAAGGCTCTGCGACTGGTTGGTTTACTGGTGATGAAACCTTGCTCGCCGTCCTCAAGGAGAAAAACATCAACATGGCTGGCATTGCCAAATGGGTCGCCTCCATGCTCTAGTAAGTCTCAAGTCTGTTCTCTTGTTTATATTACTTATATCTTGCCTTAGTTCAAAGACATTTGAGGCTGCTATGCAGGTCGAGTTGCCCAAACCCTTTGTGAAGGTTGCCCAGGCTGAAGACGAAAGGCCAGCCAACCCTCGTGACCAGCTTCGTTCTGTTGCCACAGGCATGTTTTATGCCAAGTACAGTAAGTTTTTTTTGCAGCCGATTAGTTCTTTATCACTAACACTCCTATCAGAAGCAGCTGGCTATACTGGGTCTCAAATGACCTACAAGCTCATCGTGAAGAGCCTCATCAAGAACAAGATATGCATCTATAACTGGCCTATGACAATCTCTGAGCGTCCCCTTGGTGCTGACAACTTCAACCTCAACGAACTTCGACACGAGGCACTCTGGGTCTTGTGCTACCTGTGGCTCCAGCAGAATGAGCCCGACCGCCTCACTGCCTTGTCCCCCGCGGAGCCATACAAGCAGCCCAGTGCCCCTGACCGCGTGGGCAAGAACCCAGATGCACATGACTACCAGGGTGATTTGGCTGCACCTGCAGTTGAGTTTCGACCTTGGTCAAAGGGTAAGTCTTCTGCTTTACTATCTTTTGTTAGCCTTATACTAATATTCTTCTGTTCTCAAAGAATATGCTAGGATTTGGGACACTGCGAGGTTGCCTTGTCGGCTCCCCTTAGTGATTGCTGTCGACAAGACTGTCTTACTTTGGGTCCGGCGTGAAGGTGGTGAGTTCATCCCTTCTTCTTATCTTATTTGTTGTTACTTACTGACCTTTTACACAGGTGTTGTCAACATCAGGCAGCGTATCCCAGCTAACAGCCCTGCTGCTGTCAACCCTATCGTCCCTGACACTCTCCTCTTAAATGAGGACGAGGATTATGTCCCTACGTCGGAGCCTGAGGGTATGTCAATCTCGTTATCTTGTTTTGTTTTAATTTTGCTGATCTTTTTATAAGAAATGCCGCTGCTCCTGCCTTCAAAGAAGTGTAAGTCCCTCTGTCATTCATTTGACTTTACTTGATACTAATAACATGTGCATTATAGCAGCTACCCGTGTTGCCTTGGGTAGCAACAAGCATGGGGCTCCCCACCTTTCTCGTGGTGATATCCACCCCTCCCAGCTTCGAGTTCAGGCCAAAGCAGTTCTGGCACCTCCAGTGAACTTGCAGACTCGTCCTTCGCAAGCTCCTTCTGTTCGTGCGCCATCGGCTACTCGCTCAGTTCGCTCGGAGCCTGGTCCCTCGGCTCGTCCTCCCCCTGTTTTCCTCCCCCCTGTCTTTCGTCCTCGTGAGATGCAGGCTTCGAGGTACAGCCAGGATGGACCTGTTGCTGAGTCAAGTCATCAGGCTGTGGAGCGGCAGGCTAGATCGTCAAACCTGTAAGTGGTTTACTTGCTTTTGTTCCTCTGTGTCTAACATGTCTTGTAGTCGTCATTATCAATCCAAGTATGCTCGGGACCAGATGTCCCATTCCAACTTAGAGGAAGAGCAGGATGGTAAGTCTTTTGTTTTTTCCTTCTTCCTTCCTTAGTTTATTGACTGTATTCTGTTATCTTAGATGACTGCTGAGCATTTTTGAGTTTGTTTCTTTTATCTTCGTCTTTAGCATGTATGTATGAAAGCATTGCCTGTATATACAATGAGTCTAGGTAGTGCACTCCAATATCATCCCACTCCCCACTCTCCATAACCTGATTTTAAGTTCAAGTCGAGCTTGAGTTCACATAATTTGGTAAGTTTATATGACTGTTGCTTCTTAATCTATGTAGTCAGTGTATTGTCACATTACTTGCTTCATATACTTAAGTGATTCTTCAGTTCATTCACAGTGTATCGTAATGTGAGTGTATCATTGTCTAACCTAGCATTGTCTTGTCCAATCAGTCACCTGTAGTGAATTGCTCACCCATACTTATAATTTCTTCACCTCAATTATCTGATATACTCACTGCTGCAGGGTGTACAGTGTGGACATGGAGTCGACACCCACATCTCAGACTCAGCTGGCTGATGTTCAGGTTCAAGTCAATCTACAGGAGCAAAGGAGCATTGCTCATATACTGTGATCAGTGTGACACTTACAATAGTAGTAATACTACCATTGCAGGTCAATTGCCATTGTAACCATGTGTGAGGATCATGGCCACTTACATGTACACAGACTAATCATATACATGGTCTCTATGCACAAAGAACTCTTCTATCTAGTTGTAGCTACAATTCAAACCTAGTATATTTCAGACTTAGCCATTCTGACTAGCTAGATCATTCACCGGAATTTCAAGTCAAAAACTAGCAGCTAGAGAGTGATGGTGTATACAAAGGCATCTCTATCACCAGTTACTACCAATGAAGTAGATAAATCAACTTCCTTATAAGGGTGTGTGCTAGCGCCTTTGCACGCAACTACATCACCTCACGCATCTTCTTTTATACACCAGCAGCTAACTGGCTGTTAGTGTGTATGTATAAAACTTTGGGCTTTGATCACAAGTTCGCAATGACAAGTTGTTTCCACTTGGAACATCCTCCGGTGAGCATTACCCTCAGAGCAACATGGGTGAAGGCCCAGTTGTTGAGTCATCACTGTGAGTTATTGTCTTTTGAGATGTGCATGTCTATTCAAGACTGGCTTAGGGATATTTCCGTGGTGTGAGACCTTGTGTTAGTCTCCTGATGTTAGACCTTGTGCAGGGCACAACTGGTCAAATTTTTGCTAAGTCCATTGTAAAAACATTATAATTGTTAATTTGAACCCAGTTATCATAGCATCATGGTAAAGGGGGTAAGTTGTCATTGAAGTTCAGCAACACTTTCGTGAAGGTGCAAGTTCAAATTGCAGATTGTGTTTTTACTTGCCACGCAGCAGAACCCATCATAATCACATATTTTGTAGTACTACGGCTATTATATATAACAGCTTGTTAGTTGGATATAAGCAGACTAATAGCATCTACGAGTGGGATTGTATTGATTAGAAGTTGATGATTTTTGTATTTTCATCAATGTGCTAGCTGCTAGTTTTTAAATCAAAATTCCGGTGATTAGTGTTACTACTATTGGCTCAATTTTTGTCCAAGAGGATGGTAACTCTATCAATGGAATGTTGGAAAACCCTAGAAACTGAATAGACACAACCCAATGTGTAACTTTTGAAGGAGAGCGAGTGGAGGGGGAAAAGCACAATAAAACAAGTGAATTAAGTCATTGAGATGACAACTAGTAGGTCTAACGTACAGGAATAAACTACAAGTATTGAGTACAAACAGTGGCTGATGTACTATGTAGTTAGACAGAACCTTGTGATGTAATCATGTGACAGCACCTTGCGCGCATCACTTTACAACAGTAACTATGTTCCACTAGCTGTACTGATGCATTGGCAATGGCAAAATATGCTAGGCCCTCAACCACATCCACTGGCCAGGCCTGGCCTAGTTCCTCATCCCCGCTCTCCTCTCCCCATGTTTTTTCCATGGAACACTCCTGTAGTCCTGTATTACCAGTGGAAGATATATTACATATACTAATTAAAATTTGTAGAAATGGACTTGGAATAAGGGCATGCATGTATCTTACCATGGTATTATTTCTCCCCTTTTCACACTGCTTGACTATCTGTTTTGCTCCACCAAAGTGTCCAGCAGTAAGTCAGTAATACCATCAGTAAATTTGTTTAAGACTAAAGCTGAAAAAAAAACACCTTGGTAACAACTATAGGGTATGCATGAGTTAATCTTTAGGGATAAGGTAGCTCTATTGTTGATGAAATGTTATTGTTTTTGGTCATTTCTTTCTGTGGAATCATGTATTTTTCCCATCATACTTTTGGGAGGAAGGCCAGTATACAAAATGTAGCCAACATATATAGTACTATCAATGATGAAAACACAGTATTCCAGTGGTATTCATGTAAAAGATGCTGTGATGTTTTGCAGGTCCCATGGAACTTTCTCAAATCTAGTGTAATACCAATGGGTGTGGTGAATTTCTACCATAAATACCAGATTTCACAAAAAAGCTATCAACACTTACAGAACACTGCAGAGGAGTTAATTGTGGGCATAAGAAATACCTGTGGTTATTCTGCAG